CACCAAAATTAGAGAATTAAAGATATCATTACAAAATGAACAAATCTGAGAGAGGTCCACATGTAGTACCTATATATGTAATATCAAAGCAATTGCACTTGCGGTTTTCAACAAGAAGTCAAAAATATCACTTTTTACTAAAAATGACAAAAATATTCACCAAAATTAGAAAATTGAAGATATCATCATGAAATGAACAAATCTGAGAGAGGTCTACCTAAGGTACATATACACCAAGTATCAAAGCATTCAGGCTTGTAGTTTTCAAGAAGAAGTCGAAAAAGTAAAACATTGACACGGACAACGGACGACGACGGACGACGACGACGACGGACAATCACTCATATGATAAGCTCCGCTCGACAAAGTCGACAGCGAAGCTAATAAAGGTATATACTGTAAAACATGTTGAAAAAGTGACATGCAATTTTAGCAAATTGTGGTAAAATGACGTAATAGCGAAATGTTGATTTAGCAAATCTCTCTTGTCATTGTTGATTTCCTGTTTTCACAATACTTGTCTGTCACATGCCAAAATAAATGCGCTGTTATCACCCCCATAAAAACAAAGAAAAACTGTCAAGTGTAATTAGGAAGCACCCCAGATTTGTATGTTCCAGATTACTGTATACAAATTCCCAAGCCTTGGCCATTTTGAATTTATAATAAAACATACCATTGCGATTAATTTGATCACAGGTTTGTAATTTCAGACTGTTACATAATTGAATACATACCCTGCCCACTATAACAGGAAATAGCATCTCTCCAGTAGCAGCTCCAATAACTATCACACTGGTGACTGGACCTAGCAAACCAAAAAATAAAATAAATGGTAAAACAAGCTATCAAACGATAATTTATATAAAATTAACTGACTGATTGATTGATTGATTAATTAATGTTCCTGTCTATTGGTGAGCATTGTAAGATAATTACCTGATCGTGAGATTTGAGTGAAAAACTTACTCTTTCTCACAGATTGTGAGATTAGAGTGAAAAACTGACACTTCCTCACAGATTGTGAGATTAGAGTGAAAAACCACCACTTCCTCACAGATTGTGAGATTAGAGTGAAAAACTTACTCTTTCTCACAGATTGTGAGATTAGAGTGAAAAACTGCCACTTTCTCACAGATTGTGAGATTAGAGTGAAAAACTGACACTTTCTCACAGATTGTGAGATTAGAGTGAAAAACCGCCACTTCCTCACAGATTGTGAGATTAGAGTGAAAAACTGACACTTTCTCACAGATTGTGAGATTTAAGTGAAAAACTGGCACTTTCTCACAGATTGAGAGATTTGAGTGAAAAACTGACACTTTCTCACAGATTGTGAGATTAGAGTGAAAAACTGACACTTTCTCACAGATTGTGAGATTTGAGTGAAAAACTGACACTTTCCCACAGATTGTGAGATTTGAGTGAAAAACCGACACTTTCTCACAGATTGTGAGATTTGAGTGAAAAACTGACACTTTCTCACAGATTGTGAGATTTGAGTGAAAAACTGACACTTTCTCACAGATTGTAGTCACTCGCGAGGCAAACCTAATTAGTGTTTTCCACCTATTGGGAAGAAAATTATACAAGACTAAAATTAAAGGCTAGGATTCAATATGCATAATACTTACCAGTGACATTTATGAAGGATTCAGCCCATGCTAATGCAGTAGGGTATATACTACTGAGGAACAAGCCAAAGGTAGCCGAACCAACGTACATGGCGATATTGTTGTGACGAAAAAATAATTCCATTACATAAGAAGCAAAGCATCCAATCTGTTAATTACAAGAAAGCAAGTTGACAATGAAAAGGTTTTATAATCAGCAAGAAATCAAAGCAATCAAACGATGTAACCTCTGACTGAAACATGCTAAATATGGCTGTACAAACTGTAAAACTGGGTTAAATTTAAAAGTATTTAAATTATATATCTGGAATATTCATTGGGTTTTAACTTCAAGTGTTTACAATATACAAATGTATTCTATGGATCTCTTTGCATATTTAAAGGATAAAATGAGCAGAAACAAATAATTGCAGCAAACACTTTGGATTACAGTTTATTTTCATGATTTTATAAACATGAATATACTTTGCTCATTACACTTTGTGAAACAAGCAAAAATACCACAATGTTGATTTCAAGCTAGAATTATGCTCTTTTAAATCACTTTCATTTTGCAAAAGATAAATGTTCATGAATTTGCCAAGTCAGTGAAAATCGCAAAATATCATAGCAGTGAAACTTTTACTGCGGTTGACGCTGAATATCACAAAAGATGTCACCATGAATGCCAATAATAAGGGTTCAAGTCAAATTAAAGATTACGGTATAGATTATGTTTATGGTACTTTCAATATTTTATCAATTCATACAACTAAAATACAAAAAATAAAGAAAAACAATTTAAAAATTTTGCTTGGAGACATGGGATGAGTATTGGTATTAAACTTTTCACCACATTCACAAAATAGTCCCATTTATAGTCTGCACTTTCTTTCAGAAGTTAGGGACAAAAATAGCCAAATTTTTTGAGTGAAAGCTGGAAATTAACTAAAATTTTGTCTGTTGGCTCCAAAATCAGAATATTGAAGAATATAAGAAAAAAGTTTAAAAAAATTTGGGCAAGAAAGTCTGGTGGTGAAAAGGTTATGGTTATCTCCCATAATGCATTGCATGTAGTAACACGCTCAGTGATGGAACATTTTAATTCAGCTCAGACTGCCTTTAGTAAACAAATCACAGTAAAAATTAAACAGTTTTTAAAAACTTACCACATTGACAAATAACATGCAGGCTGGAGATACTTTTGTAGATATGGGAATAGAAACAAGTCTACCCAATGCAAAACTACCCCAGTATACTGATGTTAAATAGGCACCCTCAGTAGATGATAAATCTATAACACTTTTAACAGAATAGGTATACACATATCCTCCATAAGCAGCCTGATAAAAACAAAAGAATACATGAGAAGAACAGCATAGATATGCTCACATAATGTAACTAAGTTTATTTACGAGGAGAAAAATTATCAAGAATTCTACAAGTCAGTGAAAATCACAAAGTTTTGTTGACAATTTCTCTGATTTCCTTCGATACAAAGTGTCAGTGACTTACATCACGAATCATATAAAATTCTGAATCCATGAAAATATCTAGCAGTGAAAATTAAACAGTTTATAATACCGGTATATTCTGTTCCCACTGTAAGGCCAGACTTTTATTATCCCTTGTTTCGCAAACCCGCCGAATGAATAAAAAAATTATTTTTATCTTAATTTTTTTTTCACACCGCCTAACAAATCCAAGTTGCATGTTCATGGGAGTATCATGATCAAAGTAGTAGCGATAGTCTCGCGCAGATATATCAATACTTTATGCGTGTTGGTTGACAGTGAATCTCGGATATTGACCTCTCTGTGTGCTGCTTGTGACTACTTGGCAAACATGGCGGCGGCGTGGTTTGTGGTGACTCTGTTGTCAAAAACCGAGAAATCCCTCATTAATGCGGGAAATTGTGGCCCAATTGGCGACATTGCCAACCAGGTTATACATGGAATAAAATTTTATTTCATTTCTTCTTTCCGATCAATGATCTCACTTACAATTCTTTGAGAATCACACAAATTTAATGGAAAAAAAGAATTAATTTTATTTTTTTTCCCACCCTCCTCAAAAAAATTGACTTATAAAAACTTGAGAAACAAGGAATAAAAAAAGTCTGGCCTAAGACATTGCAAACTAAGATAATACATTAGCAAACTTGTCTCTCTCCCAGCAACCCAAGATAAGAAGACAAAGTGGCTTTCATTTTGTTTGGTACATTATATCATTAAAAGACTTAGAAGTAAAAGTAAATCAACTAATTTTTTTTTTTTTGCCACATGAAAACAAAAGTAAAAGTAAATCTACTACATCACAGCTCAGACTAGTAATACAACAGACTCGCAACGCCTATTGTTTAAGGTGTTAATCGGCTTAATTGTATATGCTATGCGTGCCACGCTCTGTAGCATTGGCATAGACACCGTCGAAGTTTACCGAGCACTGGATATTCTGCACACTTCGCGCTCCTTCGGAAATTGCGTATTTCTTCGTAAAACGGATCCGGATATATTTAAAAAAACGGGAGATGCGTTCTGGACATTTTGACCTTTGCAGCTGTGTAAGAATTTTAAGAATCGACCAAGAATCAGGGGAGTTACAAGTAACTGAATGTCTTAGTGTTTATCTCAAATAGTTTTTAAATATATAATGAGCAACTTTGAAACGATATTTCTCGCTGTTGCGGATTTTGCGGAAGGTTTCCAATATTTTTTCGGAGAGAGCTTATCGCTGCGTTTTGAATGATCATACTTCTTTGTGTGTTACCCGTTTTGTTTTTGTGTTCCGGGATGCCGAAACATGAGATAGCTCGTGTCATGTACATATATCTCTTAGCGTATCGGCGTGATCCAGTAACGGTAAAAACTGGAGGTACGTTATTTTTGTCGCGTTCAACTGCATTGTACGCGATCTACGCGTTGTTCAGTGACTGTTTCAATTTTCTATTGTGTGTCAGTATTGTTGCTACCGTATTTCGAGTTTCACTGATTTTGTTTGACTTCCACCATAGTTTTGTATAAAAATAGCCCAGTATATTTATTTTTATTCCTAATTTCAGGAAATGAAAAACACGAGATCGATCAGGGGTTGCAAAGTTCTACAGAGAAATTGTCATTATCTTCGTCAAAATGTTCTCCTAAAATAGCTTCCCACTCGTAATTATCGTCTTCAGATTCGCCAAATTTTTCCGTAAATGCCATTTTCGAAGTTCACTGTCAACTACTGTCGTCTATGCCACTTCCTGTCTTTATGTCTCGCGATGCATCGCGATAGTTGATTGTAATATGAATAGATCTCGCGTTATTTTGTGAAATATAATGAAAATGTTGTTGCCCAGCAACGTTTACTCGGTACGATAAGAACTGATAACCTAAACAAACGTGGCACGCATTACTTCAAAAGAAAACGCCGCGTTGCGAGTCTGTTGTATTACTAGTCTGAGATCACAGGAAAACAAATTAACCAGCGTCCTCACAGGTGAGAATAAAAAAATTAAAGATTTACCTGTAGTCCATCGTAGATAAATAAAATTAATGCAGTGAGGCATGTGATAGCAATGACAGTACTGGAGGACGATCCACAACAATTAGTTTTAGATGCAGCTTTAGCTTTTAATGAAGTGGCTTCAGAAACTATAAAAACAAAAGCATTAAAATGTACAAAAACAATGAAACCAACTCATGTTTTATTACTAGCAATTTGAATTCAGTGATTTTTTTGGCCGAAATGTTGTGTATTTTTTTTCCCCAAAATATCTTAGTGAATTTAGAACCAAACAGACAGCATGCACAGAAGTGATTGCCGAGTAGTTGTGAACTGATTGGATTGAATGTCTGTAATCGTACCCGAGTTCTCATTGTATATGGTAACATTCTGATAGGATATCTGTAATCCATGTGTTGTAATACTTGACAAGTGGACATTAAATTAAACGACTGCATGTCAAATTGCCAAAGACACATTTTAATATACACTAGCCGAACAGGATCTATCAAGGTGAAGTGATGAGACGATGATCGAATAAACAAACCATGGGTAGCAAAAACAAAAAGCAGGTAAAAAGAATCAAATGTTTTGTAACCAATCCACCATTGTTATACTTAACGCTTTTAAATTACCTTTGTCAATATCTTCATACTTTCGTTTTGGTTTAGCACTATTAAAACATCTTTTTTTTATTAACAGAGCAAGTACCATACACACAACTGGAATCTGTTGAAAAAATGAAATACAAAACAATAAATAAAAAAATTAAAATTAAAAATAACAGTATTTGCTCTATTTTATATTATACACTTGCTCTCCTATTGGTGATGCGCTTCTAATAGAGCAAATACGATAACTAAGACAAACATTGCACAGATGACAGTCTGTATTTTACATTTCCTGAGTCAGTTTGTATGATAAACAATGAACACAAAAATGCCCTACATTGCTATCTAAATATCATACACATTGTACTCCAGAAGGCGTGAAATAAAACCCACAGAAACATAACACAAACACATTATTTATCATTCATTTTACAAAAAAAAATATGTTTACATTCATGGTATACTTCAAAACCATTTATTTTGATATTTTTTGAGCATAGTCACTGGGTTTTAAGTTTTTTTGCCAGTAAATGAGATGTATTGTTATTGTACAAGTTCATGTGAATTTCATTTGGCGGGTTTAACTTATCAGTGAAAATAGTGAAATTAAAACCCAGTGAATAATTAATGTATTTACAGTACTCTGCCTCAGGGTTTGATGATAAGTAGGGTACACGTATAGAAGATAAAGAATTTCTCCCTTAGTAGTTATAACATTTTTAAAATGATGCTTACAGCCATTTTTGCATCGTTGGGATCGTGCTCATTAGTTTTGACAATGAGGAAGGTCATACCACAGAAGGCCAACTGTTAATGAGTTGCCATAGAGGGCATACTTTTATTGAGTTGCCATAGAGGGCATACTATTATTGAGTTGCCATAGAGGGCATACTATTATTGAGTTGCCATACTATTATTTAGTTACCACAGTAATCCGGCTGTTATTAAGTTGCCATAGAGGGCATACTTTTATTAAAAAAAAAACATAGACAAAAAGCATTAAGTTGCTATGGTTTTGCTGAAAAAATAACGCGTAAAATTTTGTTGGTGCCTAAATGATATTTTAAAATATTTACACTTTTTGTTAACAATACCAGACAGACAGTTACACCCATACCTGTATTAATGCCATGATCCAGAAAGCAAATCTAACTTCAGTTCTTTCTTGTGCTTCAATAAGTGTTTCCATGGTTGTAAATGTTTGATCTGTGACACTGGGCGAGGTAATATCTCTGGCTATCTTGTCTGTATCAACACTTTGATTATATGATAAAAGAGGTGTACAGTCTTCGTTTAATAGAAAAGGTTCTGCTACAATAGGACTGATAAATGCACCAATACCATAGCAGAAATGAAGAGCCTGGAATAAAAACATAGTTAAACTACTGCAATCTTGTACATTTAATGTGAATTTCAAAACAGTTGCATTAAAAATATTAAATGTTGTTCACGCATACCGTACTTGAATGAGTAGTTAAATTGTCAAAATATTCATTATTGCAGCACTTATTGTATCTAAGGCCAGAGAAGACATCATCTAGAATCAGTAATTCGTTTTTAAGTCACACTGTTTTTCCTGCTGTACTGTGTGAAATTTAGGAATAGACCTAGACGTGATGGAAACAATCAAATCTGAACCTATATTACTGTTAAATACTTTATTTTAGCTGAAATTAATTAGAAGGAATGATTCAGCGAAAACAGTGAAAATTAATTCCAAGCAAAAATACAGTAACATTTTTACAGTACCGGGTAGTATACATGTATGTATAAATCAAAAAATTTAGTGTTTATAAAAATATTCTCTGTATACATGTATAAACAATCGGTTTTTTTTTTTTTTAAATTAGGACCACCAAACACAAACGCACACAGTCGATGTTCAATTGGAATCGCTTCATAAATAACATAAGGATATATATTGATAGAAATTGATAGAAATATTTACATCATATGTCCCACTGTTACATACAGAGAACAGTGATTTGGTATCATATGGTATTGTCGTGTTGGAAAGCAATGGAATTTGAGAGAGGAAAAGAACAGATTTTTACCGGACACAGGTGATGAAAGTAAAAGTACAGACAAATACATACAGTTGACACTGGAAGTATCGAGGGGTAAATTGCGTACGTGAGTGAAAATGCCAGAGTTTGAGACATACATGTACATATATCCATTGGCTAAATTCCAAAACTAACTTTGTTGGCCATCATCTTTTTCTATTGCTTTGTTTTTAAGAGTAACCAAAACACTGTGACTTTTCTCTGCCTCCATTGCAATTGTCAGCAGTGAGAGCCGCAGGAAATGTCGAGAGCCCAGACATCGACACACATGGAAGTACATAATTTAATGGAAAAACATCAAAAATATTTACACATAATTGGGAAACAATATTCTATGTGTAAATGAATGAATTGCGTTTATTTCGAACTGCTCAGCTGTTCTGTTTTGATGACAGTTGTAATAACAGTGCCGCACATAGAGTGAAAATAAAAAATAACCCCAATCACTGAGTGATATTTTTATTTGAAACACTGTAATTACATGTGATATTTTCACTCCTACATGTATACAATGTAGCAATAAAAATCAGTTTATACACTTGCATGTATGACACTCATCAGCTACTTTGTATCTCAAAACTATAAAAAGCTCTAGATTATTTTACTGATTAATACACATAATTACCATGGCTTAATAAAGACTGGATCATATCATGATCTCAAAAAAAGATTTATCACCAACAACAATTCAATGGTGGCCACATATATCTGTGCAGATTTTGTTAAATGAATTGAGATAATTACTTAACATAAAACCATGCAACAGATGGTGAATACATTTTATATTTATGATATAAAAAGATGAATATTAATATTTGTACCTGCTGTTACAACCATAACATATGCTGATATGTCCCGGGGTCACACAAATGATACAAATGCCAACACACTGTACATTTGTATGTATGTATAACTGTATTGTGAGGCTACATAAATATGACATCTACAATAAGTTTGATGGAGATACAGGATTATTATTGTTTTGTGAGGCAACAGCAGATACCAGTACACGTATATGGCATAAAAATCGATAAAAGAAAACAAGCCAAGAGAATTACACAACACAATCTAGTATAGACAGTTATCAAAATATGATTGAACGGGGAATTGGTTATATAACAAGCAATTTTGACGCATATTAGTTGCCAAATGCTGGGAATTCGATGGCGTACTTTTGTGAGACACTACACTCTCAAGCATAAAATAGCAGAGTTACATGTACTCTGTATGTGGTAAAATATGTCATGTTTTAATAATAAAGTAGACAACGCAATTTTTTATTTTGTATGCATTTCTATATGGTTACTTCTAGTATCTATTACATCTATTACAGATGCGCCTCTAATGGAGTGAATATGGTACCTTCTATGCAACACATGTAAGCGTGATCAGGCCCATGCAAAATACACACATGCATTGATTTTGGAAAACAAACAGATTGAAGATTTTTTTCTACCATTTCCGGCTATTATATATGTAAAGGACTGAGGGACTGTGACCTAACACTGAATCATTTAGGGTAATTTTTTGAACATAACATTTTATATGTAAGTGCATACATTTCTAATAAAGCAAATATAGTAAATGTACATGTATAGAACACACAAATACTATGAAAGAAAACATCCACGATAGTGATAAAGTAAGAGAAAATATGTCTTTTTATCTAGCAGGTTAATTTAGCTAATATAGCTAATCTGTAATTTCAAGATGTAGCTAATTTAAGTATAATTTAAGTATATTAAGAAAGTATATTCTCTTGATGTAATTGTTGACACTTTAGCTAAATTAAGACTGTTAATTCGTGCATTGTGTCAAATTCACTAGATATTTCAATGTGTTTTACAGTATTCCTTCGCATTCAGAGCACATAATATAAGGTATATATAGTGAGTATATTGTCTTCCATCAAACTTAATTGATATAAGGCAATTAAGTAGCATATGGAGTATACTCAGATTCCATTTATGATAAAATCAGTTAGCACAGTCACACCTGCTGTACAAGTACTATATATGGCTTACAACTCGTAAACCCACGTCCTAATGGATAGGAACTCTCGGATACACTCAACTAATTTTTTTTTAGTTGGAGTTAATTTTCACTGAAAAAACATTTTAGCTGGTTTGTAGTAAATTTATTTTCACTGATTTTTAAAGAGTTTAATGCAAAATATACGAAAAAGGGTATTTTTGCTGGATTTATTTCTTCAGCTAAAATAGCAAAAATAAATTTATCAGAAAATAAAGTATTATACAGTAATCTGTATTCTGCAAATGTTGATAAAATAATGAAACTGCTGGCAATAACATATTAACATAAATGGAACTAATTTGAATGAATTTTCTCAAAAATACAGAAAACATTTTCACTCTGTTGTTGAACTATTTGCATATAATATAAAAAACTTCATAAAATCAACTGCAATATTTAGATTTAGCTAAAACAAATAGTGTTGCTTTCATCATCATTTGAAAATTTATCATCACACAGACAGGTAATTAAATTAAATATCATGAAAGTATATGTTTGGGCAAGGATTTAACAAGATAAGTGTCTGCAACTTTCATAACCATGTTCACAAGAAGAAAACTCAGATGATCTGCAAACATTTGAAAGCGACTCCATTCCATGTATGCCAATCATAGGTACATGTAGCTCACAGAACATACTCAATGCTTAGAAATCCTTGAGATTATCATTGTGTTTTTGAACGTGAAGACATACGGTCCGAGATGAACACAAACTATTTCTTTCAAATACTCAATAATTTGCATTAGGATTTCCAGAGATTTTTGGTTTATTATTATATGGTAGTTATTAAAATACCAGTACCAGAATTTATGTTCAAATATATTGTAGAGTAAAAGTAGTAAAAATTGATGCATAATCTCAAGAGGAATAACAAAACCTGTTATGTACAAGAATCTCAATTCTGGTATATTTTCCATAACATTGTTACTAGTACATATACCTATACATCCGTCTGAATAGATGTGAAGAAACGTTTAGCTAAACTACTGCTTTCAGAGTTATGAGCATTTTTTTTACTCAATTAACCTTTTCACCACCAGACTTTCTTGCCCAAATTTATCTGTACTTTTTTCTATTATTCTTCAATATTTCTGGAAATGAATCATAATTTTCAAGACAACAGAGAAAACTTGAGACAATTTTCAGTTTTAACTCAAAATATTTTGCTATTTTTGTCCCAATCTTTTGTGAATTTGTGATGAAAAGAGGAACTGGTGGTGAAAAGTTTAACGTAGATGAGAAATAGCCATGTATGTTTGGTATGTTAGACATGCTAGAAGGACCATCTAAGACATGTATTTTTGAAGTATAATGAATAACTTATATTATTGCAAGTAGCAAGTACTGTTACAGTAGCTACCAAGAAAAGTAGTGATTAACATGTTCAGTGGCCAGAGTACTAACAGAACTTGTTGATGAACTTGTGATGGAATTTCCTCACTCATACATGTACAAAGAAACAATCAGTCAAAGTTTTAATGTGTCATTGCTAATTGGAATATATTGTCAGGTGAAAGTTAGTCTGATTATACAGTCAGTTTTTGTTGCATTATATTTATGTTGATCAGCTGATGAGGTCAAACAGAATACAATAACCATGCATGTACATTTTTATATCATGATTATCCATTCACTGCATGGACCGAACCAGACCGAACATCTGCCATTTTGATTTTGAACTTGAATTTTTTTTATAGCTCAATGTCAAAATACCGATCTCTCAGAAAAGAAAATGGCATTGAGATACCTTACTTCATCAAAATTGACCATCATCTAATGTGTATTACACATTATTAGGTGTTGAAATTCACGCACATTTACTACTTGCTACTTTCAAGGGTTTGTCAGTTCTCACATTTACAGTGTCTCATTAATGGATATGTCTGACTACTTAAAAACGAAGCACTACTGTAACAAAACTCTTTATATTTTGCTGAAGTTACTGTTCCACCAATAAATAAAAAAAAAAAATACCAGGTAAACATTTTGGGTACCCCATTTTTTTTTTTTAAATTAAAAATCATACCCCAGACCATTCGTCCCGGTGTTATCGCTATCGCCACACAAGACTCCAGCTTGTCTCCTATACAATTTGACTGCGCACATCTAGAAAGTAGAT